CTCACAAAACCATTATCACTGTCAAGATAGTAAATAAATCCATTACCCCCAAAAGTTTCCTCATGCCTCTTGATACTCCCTCCCCTCTGTTCCACCTCACACACACCTCTATCCTGGTGACCACTGATCTGCCTCCTATCAATATTAATTATCTTTACACTTTCTGGATTTTTCTAAATGGAATCATACAAGGTATACTCTTTTTTTATCTGGCTGTTTTCTCTCAGTCTAATTATTTTGAGATTCATTCACCACATTGCATGTGTGAATAATCTGATTCTTTTAAGCATTAAGTAGCATTTCATTTTATGGACGTACCCTAATTTACTTACCCTGTCACCTATGTACAGTTGTTTAATGGCTGGATCATAGAGTTGGTATGCATATGTTTGAGTTTATAAGAAACTACAAAGGTGTTTTCCAAAGTGGTTGTAGTACTTTCCATTTCTACCAATAATGATGAAATTTCCAATTATTCTATTTCCTTGTCAACACTTGGTATAGTCAGTTTTTTAAAATTGTAATCATTAGTATGTAACATTATTTTATTGTGTTTTTAACTTGCATTCCCCTAATGAATATTTGAGCACTTTTATGCATTTATTTGTTATTCGGCTATCTCCTTTGATGAGTAAATATTTATTGAAATTTTTGGCCGATTCTTACTGGATTGTTGGATTTCTTATTATTAGGTATTAAAATGTCTTTGTATGTTATGGATACAACTTTTTTAAATCAGAAATATGTTTCTTTTTATTTCTCTTGGGCTACTCAGTAACTCCGGCTTTTAAGAAAATTATCTTTTACTGTCTTATATTTCTGACCTTCTGCTCCAAGTTTTTCATTTTCTGTATATGTGTGATGTGTTGTACTTTGAGGTCCTTGTGTCACTTATTTTCCTTTCTGTGTCTACCTGTAATGAAAATTAAAGTTTATTCATTATCTGCATTTATATTTGCTTTGTTTTAGAAAGAAGAAATACCCAATGCTGTTCTTCTTTACTCATTAATAAGACACACAATTGTGTAGACTGAGTCAAACATCTAGTACCATGTGATAAATTACCCCAGAACACCAAGGTCATTGGAGAAGCAGAAGTTGCCATTCCCAAGAAGTTAACACTTCCTTCTGTTGTGAATGGGCACATGGAGAGGACACATCACCACTTTTAACAAAGCATTTGGGTTATTCTATCTGTTGTAGAATCTAATTACTGGAAAGATTTTTATGAATCATCCTAAACAAAGCCTTCATTTACTGTAGAACTATATGTATACACATATACACTATATATATATATATGTGTGTGTGTGGCATATGATTGCTTGTCTTTAGTTTGAATATTTTCAGTGACAGGGAATTTACTACATCCATCAGTAAACTAAATCCAGGCACATACAACTTTGAAGCAATGGATACAGAAAACCACTCAATGGTGACTGAGTTTATCTTCATGGGCATCACCCAGGACCCTCAGATGCAGATCATCTTCTTCGTGGTTTTCCTCATAGTTTACCTGGTTAATGTAGTGGGGAACGTTGGTATGATTATCCTGATTATAACAGACACTCAGCTTCACACACCCATGTATTTTTTCCTCTGCAACCTCTCCTTTGTTGACCTGGGCTACTCCTCAGCCATTGCTCCCAGGATGCTGGCTGACTTCCTAACAAAGCACAAAGTTATCTCCTTCTCCAGCTGTGCCACCCAGTTTGCTTTCTTTGTAGGTTTTGTGGATGCTGAGTGCTATGTCCTGGCAGCCATGGCCTATGATCGTTTTGTGGCTATCTGTCAACCCCTCCACTATAGCACCCTCATGTCCAAGCGGGTCTGCTTGGCTCTCATGCTGGGCTGTTACCTGGCTGGTCTAGTAAGTTTAGTAGCCCACACTTCCCTCACCTTCAGCCTGAGTTACTGTGGTTCCAATATCATCAACCATTTCTTCTGCGAAATCCCACCACTCTTGGCCCTCTCTTGTTCAGACACCTACATCAGTGAGATCTTGCTCTTCAGTCTGTGTGGCTTCATTGAATTCAGCACCATCCTCATCATCTTCATCTCCTATACCTTTATCCTCGTTGCAATCATCAGAATG